AGGGGGGTCTTTTTAATTAGTTTAAAAATTAAAAGTATAATGTTTCAGGAGAGTCCTGTCACAGTCTTTTCCTCATGAAGTGTCTGGAATATCTCACAGTTTTTACATCCTATGGATAGTCAGTTAATTAACTTTCCCAGAAGGAGAATATTTTTTTCTGAGCATTATGACTCTAGCCATTTAGAAAATAAGCAGGGATTCTGAACCTTAGCTGACACCCTTCTAGAGCTAATCTCTGTCCAGGTAAGGGAGTAATTCCTGGTTATTGCAATTTCAGGACTTGCTACAGTTTTCCCCCAAGGAACAGTTTGATGAGGCTGAGCCAGCTGCTCTGAATGGGCTGGATCAGCCAGAACCGACGGCTCTCCCGATCCCTCAGCTGCCCCAGGAAGCCCCGTCTTCCCTGGAGCACGAGCCAGAAGCCCACAGCTTGCACCTGCAGCCCCAGCACGAGGAGAGCGTGCTGCCCACGCAGAGCACCCTGACCGCGGACGACATGCGCAGGGCCAAACGCATCCGAGTAAGTGGGAAGCCGAGCTCCTCCCTGTCTAGGTGCTGGCCTTTCTCCGGTCAGCCAGCTGCGGAGGTGCTATGTTTTCCAGCCTCCTCACCATCCACTTCAGAATCTCGCGTCTAGCTTATCACACGCTCAATCCCCTTGTTTTGGAAGAGTTAACTGTCTCAGTGTCCCTGTGTCCTGTGGCAGGCTGGATGGCTGGTCCTAGAGTCTATCCATTTAGTAAGCACACAGAGGCTGGGCTTTTGGTAGCTCCTGGACTGGTGCAGTTAAAGTAGGCTAGTTCTCTGGATCCTCAAGCTCACAGATTGGAAATGGAGAAATAAGTATATTTAATTATAATAACTGCTTATATTTAAGCCAGGCTGATCTGTGTCTAATCATAGTTCTCAAGTTATTCTTGGGTAACTTCATTTGGTTATCTGCAGTTTCCAAGGGGGGACTGGCAAGTATCATTCCTCACCAATGCCAAGGAACCTGTGTCCAAGTTGATACGGCAGGTACGACCCACACACCCGGGGACAGCTTGGAGTGAAGCTCTCGGTCTGGGAGCAGGTCAAGGTCTCACCTGTGTGACCTGCACCTTGGCTTCAGGCCACATGGCTGCAGGGCCTCCATGGCTTCCAGGCGGATGTGTCTTGTTCTTATTTCCCGGATAGCAGTTGAGTCCGAGGCAGGAGCTGCAGGGGATGCATGTGGAGAGCAGTATGGTTTTGTGGAGTAAGTGCCTGTGCTGACAATTTTCATTTAGAAAACAATGACTTAAGCTCCTGTCTGTGGGAGCAGGGCGTGCAAAGACGTATTCGCACTTTACGTGTGTATGACAGAGTTCTTTTTATATAACTTTCCAATGTCTAGATGGACCATGGCTTTAGCTTATGTTTCTGTTGGCTGTCTTACTTGCATATGTGCAGCTCATGTTTCTGTTGGTCTTATTTGCCTTTATGCTAGAAGAGACCTTGAAAAACAGTCTAGTCCATATCTTGTAAAAACGCATCTAGACGTTTATAGCTATTTGATAGCATCAAAGGGCTCTGAGCCCTCTGAGGCTAAATAACCTTTGTGGGGGTCCTGCAGTGGAAACATAGCACTTGTGGCTCCATGTGTATTATTTCAGAAGGATATGTAAACACACATAAATATAAACTGCAAAGGCGAAAAGCTATGAACTTATAACTTCCCATCCATCATCCTATGTTACTTCCCAGTCCCCATTTCACGCTCTTGCCCAATTACTGTCTTTTCCGCTTTGGCCATTCTGATTTTTCACTGAGTCCAGAGAAATGCTTACTAGATTTAATTTTTTTGAGGGAAAAAACTAGAGCCCACAGTGTAGTGAAGCTGTGGATACACAAGCGTAATCTAGCTATGAGTGTACTTGGGGTCTTGAAGGAGCTGCTTACTGGTTTTGGTACGAGGTTCCTCATGTCAGAGCAGAAGCCACGTGTGTGTGGCTTTTGAAAAGGTCAGTCTTAGTTGAGCTATTTCTTTTTTTCCTCTCACACTTTCTGAAAAGTAGGGCTATGTATTTTTTTCATCTCTTCTATCCAGGTTGGTCATGACCAACTAAAGGAAGTCTTCCATCCAATTGGTAATGTAACTATTTTTCTCTCCTCCAATGCTGCCTGCTCAGCTGGAGCTGCAGGTAGGTTTGTTTCCTGTGTTTCCCATAACAGAATGTTACTTAAGTGTTTGCCTTACCTGCTCCTCTTTGCAACCTGTACTTACTAAATCCTGGGAGAAACTACAGTTTGGTTGCTTCAGTAAATGCCAATTAGTTAATGAATAATGATGATTTATTTTCAAATAGATCAGTGAGTACATCGTGGGCTGCACATTCCTCGTACACAAAGTGAAGGGTAGGACTGAGTGATCCCCCGGGTCCCTTCCAGCTCTGAGACAGTGTGAATGACTTGTGGAATGGTATTGAAGTCTAACACATACTCAGCACTGTGCTGTGTACACAGTGGAATTTTCACTGAGGCCTGTCCTCTAGGAGCTTACAGTCGAACTGGGGAGACAATGCTGATGAAAGGTGTTAAGTGCTAAATTTAAAAGTGTAGCCTATAATTATTTTAGGAACCTGGAAGAGTGAAAGGCCAAAAAATGATGGAGTCGGGGAATAATTCTTAGATGCAGTGAGACTTAAACTGGTCCAAAGAGGGCAGCACAGGATGCAAGCGAGACCCAGGATGCGCTTGGTATGCTTACGGGGCAGTGCGCACACTAGCCTGACCCTGGGATGGGGGCCAGGTGAAGGACAGCGTGAGTGAGATATGCTGGGCAGGGCTAGACCACCCTTGAATGCAGGATCAAAATAATAGGAAAATTAATCAATAATTTAGGATTCTTTAGCTACTAATATCAAACTTTAGAAACATATGGTCTTTGTCTGCAAAGAATCTGTTGTCTTAGAATTCATTTCATTGTAAGTTAAATCCCTCATCATAGATTTTAGCAACTGTACCATTTTGGCACCATTAGAGTATTTATGCACCATACAATATGGTGTGGTTGACGGGCTGTAACTTGGGGATCAGAAGATCCATAATGGCTGCATCTGTGCCACCTTCACCGTTTTCCATGATTTCTTCTGGAAATGTATGCCAGTGGCAGCTCTGAACTACAGAAGATGCCACAGAGTGAAATGGCCTGCAGGTGGGCCGTGGGGGTTGGAGTGGTTTCAGCACTCACTGCCTTGCAGTGCAGGATGACATTAGGATCATTATATCAGAGAAATGCAGTCTAGGTCTGTGTGCTTAGACGTACTCAGGGCTCCGTGGAAATGAGAAACATGGTAAGAATAAGCAAGGTTAGTCCATAGAACTAAGAAAGTGGAGCCAGGTGGCTGCTTAGTTTAAATCACGTGCCTGAGGTCACTCATACTAATCAGAAATGGCAGGAGACATTAGCATAGTGGATCCAAACAAGGCTGAGTTCTAGAGTTGGCACCCAGGCAGAAGTGCAATCCCCGGCGAGGCCAGGGCCAGGTGTCGTGCACTGTGGATGCCCTGCGAAACTTTCGTGAACTTGGATGGAGGAAATGATTCTTACCTGCCAGAAACTCTCAATCTCCACTCTCTGAACCTCAGGAGAGCATTGTTTATTTTCAATATTTCCATGAAGTTTTGAAAGTAGCCAAAATACTGAGAGCGTATATGTGAAATAAGGAGGCGCAGAGTAAAAAGATCGGGCAGCTGCCAAGCAGCATAATGAAGGGAAGGCTGCTCCGTGGCTGATTTGAAGCAGTTGTATTCCTAGAGACCTCTGCAGCTGCCATAGGAGCGATCTGGACGTAATTCTCCTTTATTTTCATATGAAATACATTTAATTAATTCTCAGGCTTTTATTGAACACTTCTTATGAAATAAGGTATTTTTTAAGGGCTCCGGGTGCAAAGGGGAATAAAATCTGATGCAAGCCTGAAGCAGCCCCAGACTTGGGGAGACAGGAGAATTACTAAGTATCTACTCAAGATGTGTGAGTAGGTAACTACATCCCGCCAGCCCTGCTAGGGAAGCCCCGAGAGGGAAGTTTTCTATTGGAAAGTAACCAAGTTCAGAATTTTCGCTAAATCAAAAACAATTATTTTGCTTTTTCCTTAAATGATTATATTACATCAAATTTAGTTTAGAAGTTACTGCTTGTAAGTAATTTGAAATGAAGGGTTTAAGCATTGTCCATTGTACTTGTTGTTGAACAAATAATGTATTAAAAGCTCCACTGATCCTTTAGTTACTATTCCCTTCTACTTACATAAGCATTCCTATTCATATACATATACCTACTCATATACCTATTAATATACATATGCATGCATGTATACATATATACATATACATATACTTATTCATATATGTATTCATATATGTATATATTCATATATACACACATATATACATATACCTATTCATATACATATACGTATACATATATACATATACATGCACATATACATATTCATATTCTTATTCATGAACACATACCTATTCATATACTTATTAATATACACATACATACATGTGTACATATATACATATACTTATTCATATATGTATTCATATATGTATATACTTAGTCATATGTGTATATGTATACATATACGAATATATACATATACATATTCTTATTCATATACATATACCTATTAATATTCATATACATACATGTGTGCATATATACATATACCTACTCGTATACCTACTCGTATACCTACTCGTATACCTACTCATATACCTATCCATATCCATATCCATAAATATATAATTTTCTTTTTGAGGGATTTTCCGCCTCTCATAGCTGTGCAGCGCTTCCCCCGGTGTCTGAGGAACCAATAATGAAACTTCATTACAGTATAACTAAAGCGTTGATTCCGTGCTATCTGTGTGAGAGATGGTTCTGTTAATCTGCTCTCAGTAGAGCGTGAGTTGTTTCTCCGGTAGTGGTGATGAATTTGCACTGAGTACCCATATTCTCTCACTCGGATTCCCCATGACGACTGCGTGAATTTACCAGATGGCTGGTCACCATTAGAAGTGCAGCCTGTGACTAAAGGGGGAGGGGCAACTCGACGGGTGTAGACAGGGAACACAGCGGTAAGCTGAACTTGGTTGGCAGGGCGTGCAAACCAGTGGAACTAATAGCCGCACTGAGGCTTGTCCTCTGCATTTCCCGAGTAGGGAGGGATTAAATGCACAACCTCCATTTATGACGTGTGCTCCCGTATCTTCCCTCATGAGCAAACATGTTCACATAAATCTGTACCTTTGTTTCTCTTTCAGTTCTTTTTCTTTTTTTAAATATGAATTTCTTTTTTTTTTTTTTTTTAATATATCTTTATTGATTTCAGAGAGAGGAAAGGAGAGGGAGAGAGAGAGAGAGAGAGAAACATCAAGGATAAGAGTCATTGATTAAGCCCACAACCCAGGCATGTGCCCTGACCAGGAATCGAACCCTGATTGCTTGGATCCTAGGTTGATGCTCAACCGCTGAGCCACACTCGGCCGGGCTTTCAGTTCTTTTTCTTAAATCGAGACATAATTCACATACCATAAAAACTGCCGTTTTGTGGTGGTTTTTAGAATGTTCCCAAAGTTGTGCAGCCATCAGCACTCTCATTCCGGAACATTTCATCCCCCTTAAGCGAACCCCCGTATATCCATCGCCCCCCCTCACCCAGCCCCTGGCAAGTGCTACGCTTCAGTTCTTTTTATTGCCCTATTTTTTCGCTGAACATTTTAATCACGCTTCGAATTCTTTTTCTCAAGAGCTTGAACAAGTCACGCTTGGCCGACTTGCTCCAGCCTCATCCATGCATGTGTGACTTATCCCAAGTCACTTCTTCCAAGTCTGCAATTTTTATTTTACGTCATTTTGGGACCCGGAGTCCTCTATTGGGAATACATTTTTTAATGTTGCTCAGATCCTTTCATAAGGAAACACACATACATAGACATAAAACAAAGCGCAGGAAACAGCCGCCTTTTCAAGATGAACTTCTTTGAGGTGGCTTCATTTTTTTATATGCTTTTTAAAATTGATGTCAGAGAGAGGAAGGGAGAGGGAGCGAGAGAGAGAAACATCGGTGATGAGAGAGTCACGGATCGGCTGCCTCCTGCACGCCCCCTGCTGGGGATCCATGTGCCCTGACCTCCTGGTTCACCGGTCGATGCCCAACCACTGGCCGGGCAAGACGGCTGCATTTTTAACATCTCGCCGGAAAATCTTTTTCAACTGTGCCCTAGAGTTTCATTCCTGTGGACACGTGGGTCCGCCGCGCCCATGTCTTCGCCTGCGGAGGCGCCCGCTGACGGTCGCGTGCGTGTCTTTCAGAACGCGGCCCTTCAGCACCTGTTCATCCGGAAGTCCTTCCGGCCCTTCAAGTGCCTGCAGTGCGGGAAGGCCTTCCGGGAGAAGGAGAAGCTGGACCAGCACCTGCGCTTCCACGGGCGCGAGGGCAGCTGCCCGCTCACCTGCGACCTGTGCAACAAGGGCTTCCTCAGCAGCGCCTCCTTGGAGAGCCACATGAAGCTGCACTCGGACCAGAAGACCTACTCCTGCATTTTCTGCCCGGAATCCTTCGACCGCCTGGACCTGCTGAAGGACCACGTGGCCGTCCACATCCACGACGGCTACTTCACCTGCCCCACCTGTAAGAAGCGCTTCCCCGATTTCATCCAGGTGAGCGGCCCCAGGCCCCGCGCGCCGCCCTCTCCCGGCGAATGGTCCTGGCCTTTTGGAAAACAGACTGCCCGTCACCGGCACTGTCGCCTTTCTTGGTAACAACCTCACGGTTGAGAACCATGTTTCTTCAGTCAGTCTACTTTTGTTGAACAAAAGATGATCACGGCCCTTCATTGTCCAAGGCAGACATTGGCATTTAAACGTTTAAGTTCTGTGACACGTAATAAACGCCCTTATCTGATTATGGTTTTTTAAAAGTGTGTACTAGCAAAGATGAGAAAGAGAGGCTCCCGTTTTCTGGCCTGGGGACACTGTCTTCCTACCACTCTTCTCCTGTCATACTTGACTAAGGTCGTGCGTTTTGGAAAGCGACAGGAGGAAGCTGTATAAGGTCCACTTTTGTGTCAAGCTCTGATCCCCTCCCCTGTACTATATTCTGGAGCAGGTGGGGGAGGAAAAATTCCAGAATACTTATGACTTCATTTGGACTTCCAGTGATTATAGTGTTATGTCCTAGTCAATGAATAATTCATTCTCAATATCTAGTAAAAATAGTCACTTTAAAAAATTCCCAAAGCAAAAGGAGACTATGATTTAATCATAGTTCTGCTAGCGGTCAGAAGTCTTGGTAATTTTATCACTGCCCACAAATGATTAGAAAAGTTGCCTCAAGGCAGAATCTAATGGCAAAAAAGACTCCACAAGTAATGAAGCAAACGTGTCATAGGAACAACTGTTTGATATGACTTACTGCATGGCCCCCACCCATAATTCTCCATTGGATATTCGTGGTTAGGAGAGCTCAGAGGCCATATGCCTTTATTTACAGTACCTAAAAGTACAGGGAATACGTCCCAATTAAGGGGAAATAATGCTGGTGTTGTGTTGTTCTCATAAATGGGTCATGTGTTTTATATCACCCAAGGCATGTTTTCAGTTCTTCAGAACCTGATTATATAGAAAGTGGTGAAGGGTCCAGTTACTAAAAGGGGCCAGATTGTTTCTGTACATGTTGGAGGCAGGAGAAAGTGAGAAAGGATTATTTTTTGTCTTCCTATAGATATTTTTTTTAGCAAGATTCATTTAAGTCCAAGGGAACTCTACTTTTAATCTTTAAAAAAAAGAAAAAGACAAAAGAAGTTGGTTCCATATAATCAGGGCTTTATGCCTAAGCCAGCACTCCTCCTACCTCCCCTTCAAGTCGTCCGGGAGGTTGAGGTTGGTCAGGCTTCTGGCTGCTTGTTTTGTCCCTTTGCGGGAGGGATGGTGTGTCACCGAGGCCCACGCCAATCAGGTCTGGTTGGACCCGCGGCAGGGTGGACGGAAGCCCATGGCAATGCCTTTGGCGCCCTCTAGAGCTGATAAGCTGCCTTTTGTCATTTCCTTTGGTGCCCAGTCCCCTGACTTTTTCTGTCTTTGCCGCCAGGTGAAAAAACACGTGCGAAGCTTCCACTCAGAAAAGATCTACCAGTGCACAGAATGCGACAAGGCCTTCTGCCGTCCTGACAAGCTGCGGCTGCACATGCTCCGACACTCAGACCGCAAAGACTTCCTGTGTTCCACGTGTGGGAAGCAGTTTAAGGTGTGTAAGCAGCAGCCCGAGGTTGCTCTCCCGGCCCTGGGATCCTGTCGAGCTAAGGATCAGGGCTTGTTTGTTTCATCAGCTTATCTCCTACTTTCAAAGAACTGGACTGGAGGTGCATTTCATGCCTCATGTTTGAGTTAGCTATGATAAAGTTTAGGAAAAACACTCACCTCAATTTCCCAAAATGACTCATTGAAATCCCCAGAGTAGTAATGCATCTCCTAAAAGAATCTGAATGTATGATGGATACAACTGAATTGTTATTGAGGAATTCCTAAGAGAACCATCCACTTATCAAATCAAGAGATTTTTATTGAGCCCTTATTAAGTATAAGAGACTGATAACCGAGCCCCGAAAGCAGCAGGACTGTTATCTAATGGAGGTGGGAAATCTTTAGGGTGCTGAGAGGGCTTAGACCACTCTGGGGAATGTTAATGACTTCAAAGATTAAAATAAAAAATAAACTCAGTGACCTGCCTGGAACTTAGAAGAAGCAAAGGAAAAACCCATGGGAGACTCAGAGATATGAGCTAAACAAGTAAATGTAAAAACAATAAAAAGTACTTCATTGGGAAATCAGATGATTCTGCAAAGATTTCATTCACGGACATCTGCTGAGTAGGACTGTAGGTCCTGCTGTCGTAGACACTGGGAAAGAATCAGAAACAGATTCGGGAGGGGCAAAAATAATTTTACAAGGATGTATTTGTATAGAATGTGGAAACATTAAGGAGAAGTAGAAATAATTTTCAAAGCTTAAGTTTTGTGGTGTACGTGTTATGGATTATAATCTCGACTTTTGATACATAGTAGCACGATTTAGAGCTCTGTAAGGACGCTAATGTGAAAAGTATAAGTGGGCCTAGGTTTTCTGTTTCTTAATTTAAAAAAATGACAATTTGTCTAAAAAGATCCCTGTTTTGTGATGGTCATTGGTTGGCCATCTATCCTATCCACCTAACATTTTTTGATTATCTGTTTTGTGCCAGATACCATTTTAGCACCTAGGCAGAAAAAAACCCAAAAACCCAAAAAACCAACAAAACACTTTCCTGCTTCTGTTTTACTTTCACCCAATATATTAGACAGGGTTCAATCAGAGAAGCCAAACCACTGTGAGCATAATGGAATAAGGGATTTTCTTACAGGAAGAAGAACTTAATTATAGAAGGACATGAGAAGTAAGGGCCTGACAGGAGGAGCAGAGAAGGGTCACGGATGCCCCTTTGTGGAACCCTGGTCTGGGTGCACAAATGGGAACCTGGGAGTCTGGGGACCCAGGCACTTCAGCTGCAGGGTGGGCCTGCGAAGGAGACCTTGTGCTGCCTGCAGACAGCTGTGTCGCTTCGCTGCCTGGGGGGTGCACGTGGACTTGGCCAGCAGGGCTGGAGGTCGGGAAGTGGCTGAGTGGGAGGGAACAGGGACACCTGGAGCCTCTGCACCTGAGCCGCAGAGCCTCGTGTCTGCCGCTTCGTGTCCCCCTCCCAGTCTACAAAAGGCGGGAGACCTGGTCTGGTAGAAGGGTCAGACCTTTACAAGTAACAGTTTAATCATGTGTCCAAGAGCAGAGCCTCACTGGCTAAGGGAGGTGGTGTTTTTTTGAATTTGTTTTCATTCAGGATGGGCTCTGCCTAACTTTTCTCTAAGGACCCACATCAACGCGTGTCACCAGATTAGATCACAGGCTGGACCTGGACCATGCGCTTTGTCCATGGTGGGCCCTGTAGTTGTTTGCGTGGATGTCTGAATCCATAGATGAGAGAGCCTGACTTACATTAGTTAGGGATTTAGAGGATTATTGTTATGTTTGTTAAAGTTTGTGGGACTTGAGTGTACATACGGCTTTGTAAATTCAGGATTACCAATCATTCATTATCAGTTTGATACCAAACTTATCTCTCATACCCTTTGATTTCTTCTACATAAATGCAAAGTCCTTTTTTTCCTCAAAAATCAGTATCTTTCCAGTTGACTGTCATTTTCCATTAAGGCTCAGTGGATTGCACTTACTTGCTGGTAAACAGTCAGTCCTGGTCACTCTGCCATGTCCTGAGTGTTCCAGCTCAGGGGAATCTTGGCAGGTTGTGGTTACTGCTAACTGGTATTGATTTTTTTTTTTTTTTTCTCTTCTTAGTCTTCCTGTTTGACACTTTTCTTTCCAGTTATCCTTTGAAGCACCCCAAAGCATTTCTTCTGGGGGAAAATCTGAGGGAGAGCTCCGGTATGAAACTTTAGTCTCCATGTCTTGTTTGCTTCAGAGAGAGTATCAATCACTCTTCCATTTCCAAACTCCTTCTCCTACTAGAAAGGTCTCCTCACAGGAGGAAAGCTGAGAGAATCTGGGCTCCTTATTTATAGGTCAAATGTGGGAAAAGCTTCTTTCCTGACTACTCCTGTCCAGTCTTTGAAACTTCAATAGTTATTTTCTGTAGTTAATTCTTCCAGGACATATACCCACAAATGTAAAGGTTCAGGGCATTAAACTGAAAGGTATAAAGGCTCTAATAGAGAGAGTCACATTTCTGAAAAGGAAAATCCATCTGAATATATTTTCTGACCCTGTGAATAGCTAAAAATATATGGATGATCATTTTTACAGTCCTGGAGTTTTAATACCAAAACTAACCTAGAAGGGAAAATGACATTGAGTTATGGAGAGAGAAAAATAGAACCGACATCACTAGAATCTATCTCCTTTCTTTGCCAGGTATTCATTCCTAAGTTAGCCCANTGGTTTTTTTTTTTTTTTTTTTTTTTTTTTTATATCCCTTCAATTAAAAAATTTCTACCCCCACTTCTCACCCCCCTGCCTTTTCAACTTTCTCTCAATAGCGAAAAGACAAACTGCGGGAACATATGCAGAGGATGCATAATCCTGAGAGGGAGGCCAAGAAAGCCGACCGCATCAGCCGCTCCAAGACGTTCAAGCCTCGCATCACATCCACCGACTACGACAGCTTCACGTTCAAGTGCCGCCTGTGCATGATGGGCTTCCGGAGACGGGGCATGCTGGTCAGTGCCGGGCCCTGGGTCCCCGCCACCTGCCGTCCCTCCCCAGTTCTGCTGTGTGGTGGTGGCTTTTGTGCCATATTTTGTACAGATCTGTCAGTAGGTTTTGCCCGTGGCCAGGGGTAAAACCAGGCAAACAACTCCTAATTCTCTCCTTTCCAGCCTCCCCTCGCCCTCCTTCGCACAGTTCTTTGGGAGAGGTCTGTGTCTAACAATTTTGTTACTAGTTTTGTTTTGCTTTACCTTCTCAGTCCCTGGTTTTGCTGTATTTATTTCCCTCTTCCCGTTTGTGTTCCTGCGTATATGTACAGTCTTGTGGGCTCTTTGCCTTCTCGCCGACTATTTCCTTAAAGCCTCTTGTCCAGCTATGAAATGGCAACGGAAGAAACTTTCCATCAAAGCAGGGCGTGGGCACCAGGTTGGCAGGACGTCGGGGTGGCCAAATGCAGCAGGTCCCGAGTAGTGGTGCTTCCCAGTGCTGACGAGGGGCCAGGGGAACCCGATTCCTGTGTATGTCAATTAGCCTGTGGTAAAATTGGTTTCGTTATTCGTTGTGCTTAAAGGTGCAGAACCTATTGACGAAGTTAAGTGAGGACTTCGTATTTCTGCCAGGAGCTAAAGTCATAGAGCATCATTTAAAATTCAGAGCCTTAATTTTCCTCTCATTCAGTGTCCTCCCTCGGGCTGGGGCACTAAATAATGAAAGACAGGTTGGCATCAGGAGAATTGACCAGAGAAGTTCACGCTACTATAATTTCCCTTTTTCCAACAGTTCTTTCATCAAAGACTATTAATGGGATCCGCAGTGACCCAGTTCACCTTCAGTAATTTGCTGAGTTCCTGTTAATTCCTGGTAACAGTGACTGTTCATGCTTTGGTGTCAGGATGGGCCTGGCAGTGCTGGTCGGCCAAATGCCTGTTGTTTGGGGCGCTGCTTTGGAGAATTCAGCTTGTAGCAGACGCTCTCAGAGACATTCGTGCAGCTTCTGTTCGTAATAGGCTCTCCTTTTCGCATTTTCTCCCTTTAGGTAAATCACTTATCAAAGAGGCACCCAGACATGAAGATAGAGGAGGTGCCCGAGCTAACCCTGCCCATCATCAAGCCCAACCGCGATTACTTTTGCCAGTATTGCGATAAGGTAAACGGAGCCGTCGCGGTGCGAAGTCTCTGTGGGAGCCCAGCCGCGAGCCAGTTTGCCTGCGTGTGGGAATGTATACCAGGACCTCGCCGGCGCTCTGAACAGATGGTTCCCTGGCTCTCAGTACTTTTCCATTCACACAAGAAAGGGCTACAAGTGTAGCCTCATTTAAAGCCAAAATTTTTTCCTTCAGAATGAATTGACTGTTTTGTTTTCCCTTCTCTCTGTGATTTTCGTTACAAAAGAAGAGTCGTATTCCCAAGAGCTTAGTACATGAATTCATTTAAAATTTCTTAGCTCTAAAATGAAAGTGTTGATCTCATCGGGTTTGTAAAATATATGGTAGATTTTGGATTTCTAGAAGATTGAGTAGGATGTGAAAATGTTTTGAGGTGGAGTACTCTAGTTGTACTATTTTATTTTTAATTTTTGTACAGTTGCAAAAAAAGACAGGGAGAGAATACATGTCTATTGTTTCATTGCAATAGTGTTTCCTTATACCATGTAGCTGTGTCAGCTTAAATGTAAGAAATATTTTTAAGCATAGATTCACTAGGGGTACTGGTTGCTATTGGATTTTCATTTTGGAAGATTCTTTGGCATCTAGTAGTCAACTACATGCATCATGTGAGAGCTTCCACAGAAAGGCTCATGGAGGGTCTGGCCTTAGAAACAGTTCTCTTTCTCTGACTGTGTATCCACCTCTTAAACTTCAGGGAAAAGGCTAGTTTTACTATTACTAAATTAGATATGTAAGTTCAAGCAAGGTGCCTGGCACATCTAGACGATGTCCTTATTTTATTCTAATTTATGTTATATATATTATCTTTCATTGTATCTACTTTGGGTAACAGTGTATCTATTTTAGTTTGGGCTACACTAATACTTTTTCTCATTTTTTTGTACGGAAATGGTTAGATGGTTGGCTTTAAGCAGGAAAGGGGAACTGTGTACTGCTCTCATGGTAAGACATTTAAATTTGCAGGTTTATAAAAGTGCCAGCAAGCGGAAGGCCCACATTCTGAAGAACCATCCCGGGGCTGAGCTCCCGCCAAGCATTCGGAAGCTTCGCCCTGCGGGCCCTGGAGAACCAGACCCCATGCTGAGCACCCACACCCAGCTCACAGGCACAATAGCCACCCCTCCTGTCTGCTGCCCCCACTGCTCCAAACAGTACAGCAGCAAGGTATGGGAAGCTCTGATTGAATCTGAGTCAGGCCTGCGTAAGGAGTCTCTTGAGAGAAGCTGGCTTCTCCCAGGTGCTCTGGTGGCTGCGTCTGACTTGATGGGGACTGACAGGTTCTAGGAGCTGTTTCCTGAGAGCAGGAGCCATAAGCACAGAATGGGAGGAAATTATGGTGGACTTTCCCCAGAATCAGCACCATCTGGTAGCTCGAGCACATGGCTGGATTCCTTTTCCTTGGCCTGCCTGCTGAGGGTCTCCTGTGGGATAGTCCAGGCTCAGAGTTTATGAGCTTGGTGCTCCCGAGTACTGTGTAGGAACTAAGTGATAGTTCCTAAAAGGAGGGCTTATGATGGACGCTGCAGGTGTTGGTGGGACTAGGGGATGCTGTGAGGTATTCTTACCTGGCCTGATGGTGCTGGGTCACGTGATTCTTTAATTTCTTTCCAGCTTCTTCTTTTTCCCCCTTTCATAGCATGTGCCACCTCAGGGAGGGCAGAGTCAGCATCACTCTAATTTTTTTTTTAATGGATAACATAAGAGACTTTAGGAACCTTTGGAGGATTGCATTTGAGAAAGACTGAGAATAACTAATTCCAGTAATTATTCTTGGTTTTTCCTATAATTTTTCAGACCAAGATGGTACAACACATTCGAAAGAAGCATCCGGAGTATGCCCAGCTCCCTAACACCCTGCACACACCGCTGACCACAGCTGTGATCAGCACTGCTCCGGCCGTTCTAACTACCGACAGTGCTACTGGGGAGACCGTGGTGGTAAGTGTGTGACCCGTGAGAGCATCTTCTCTCTTTCATTGGCCCTCACAGCTTTCGGTGCCAAAGCCAGAGCTGTCTTGTTACTTAATTGGCTGGAAATTTGGCCCAGTAGGCTTCTGATTGGGTCTCCTCTGGGAAAGGGTAGCAGGAAATTTTCAGTGCTGCTCATTGGTTGCAAGATTGCCCGAACCTTGAGGCTAACTCCCCTGGGCCTGACACAGACAGATAGATATAGATATATAGGTAACCTTCCAACATCTTCTCAACTTTGGAATTTCTTCTGTATGAGCTCAGGGCTAACTTATACTTTCCAGGATCCACCAGTGATATACATTAAACTTTTGTAGGACCTAAGAGCACTGAAATAACCACTATTAATACTGCTTTCCACTAATGTATTTTGTGTGAATTTTCTAGACAACAGACCTGCTAACCCAGGCGATGACAGAACTGTCCCAGACCTTAACGACAGATTACCGAACGCCACAAGGGGACTACCAGAGGATTCAGTACATCCCCGTGTCACAGTCTGCGCCTGGTCTGCAGCAGCCTCAGCACATACAGCTTCAAGTGGTGCAAGTGGCCCCGGTATCGTGCTGCGTTTATTTCTTGTTCCCTTCATGGATGCCACACCGTCACCAGTGCATATGGCACTGAGGTCAACAAAAGCACCGATTCTCAGAGCCGGCATGGGACCCTCCATATAATGCGCTTCTGCGTGTAAATTCCAAGCCTGCGGCATTTGTAAACTCCCCTCCACAGGCCGCCCAGGCCCTGGGCTTGGCAGCGTGCGGGGTGTCTGTGCCAAGTGGTCGGAGCGGCTAGGCTCCGGCGCACGCTTCGCCCGTGCTGCTGCGGGGGGCACCCACGCAGGCCCTCCTGCGCCTCTCCTGCATCCTTACCCCGGGTCCGCAGGGGGACTACGGGGTGAGGACCCAGTTTCAGAAGCCCCTACACAGGCATCAAAGGAATTATCTCGGTGGGAGGTTGATCCAACCTTTGAATATCAGTCAGTGCCCTATTAGTACAAGCAAGCGATTTTCAGCCGGGCGCCGCAAGAATGTTTAAAACATGTGGTACCTGACTACTCAGTCAGGGGCACTGACCTCCTTTCCCTTAGGCCGTCAAATAAGAAAGTGACAACGGCCAGCACAACAATCGCCGTCCAGTGTGAATGAACCAAAATTATGCCCTTTTTTTTGGTCAGATCAGCAACAAAAATTTTTTGTGTGCCACAGAATTTTAGCACTTAGCTTATGTGTGCCATGAGGTGAGAAAGGTTGACAGTCGCTGGTACAGATGTATTACTATGTTCCTTCTACCAGATAATTAGTAGCTTATTCTTACTGATTAGGGAGCCAAAAGAAGGAATCCTCCCAGAGCTATTGTTTCATTTAATTATGCTGAGGAAGTGTCCTCCAGGCACACGTGCAATAATCTGGGCTCTGAAAATTGGAAGCTAATACCAGAGCAGGGAATTGGAAGTTGCCACTCACTGATTATTCTTTATCTTGTTTTCATATGGGAGGGCTTTTAATTTTAGGCTTTGGAAGAATCTATAGATCCCTGGACTTGCCTGTAAAATATGATGCATATGTACATTGTTCTAGAAAAAGGGCTCATACTTTAGCCAGATTTTCAAAGATGTCTGAGATACATGAAAAGTCAGGGATCACTGTTCTAGTGGCTTAATGGTGACGAGCTGAAAGCAGGTTCTCTCCTTCGACATCTTTTAACTCATAAGGGTAGGTCATTAAATTTAATTGAAATCGAAGGGAAAGAGATTTCCGATTCCTGAGAGCTTCCCGTCCAGCTTTTATTAAGAGCTATATTTCTTTTGGCTCCTTCCCTTTCAGAATTTAATAGCATTAGTGGCTCATGTTTTATAAGCTTAATTTTTAAAACTGCCTTTTCCCTAACTTTTGCCAGCTTGGCTTAGGTGTGGGCTCTCTGGGGGAGGGACGCATTGGCTCTAAAATTCACTTCTCTCGCTGCCTACATTTCTGTTGGCATATTGATGTAGCTGAACTTCTCCTCTGGAAAGACTTCCCTTAGCCTCCATCAGTCTGTATTTGCCTTTCCCTCCCTCCAGGCCACCTCCCCTCACCAGGCTCAGCAGTCCACAGTGGACGTGGGCCAGCTCCATGACCCGCAGACCTACACCCAGCATGCCATCCAGGTGCAGCACATCCAGGTCACCGAGCCTGCCACCGCGGCCCCACCGTCCTCCCAGGTATGTACACGTCTGCACAGACATTGTCACGGCCTCAGGGACCCTGAAGAATTAATCAGAGTGAAGAGATAGTAGTACCTTCAGACCTAGCCTCCCTGACTATTGAAATGATACTGTTATTTTGGACCTTAGCTTTTATGTTGGTGTTATGGACACACATTAAGTGATTAGCTTCTATCCAAATGGACCCTGTGATACAATATCCTAGAGACGACATGGTCTTTGTTCCCTCTTCTAAGTGGCCGGGTGATAATATGCAGTGGCTGAGTTGTTTCGGTAATTTTGGAACAGTAGCTTTGAGGAGTATTACTGTGCTTGTATGATTGAGTATTATTAAGATAGCACAGCTAGACCCATTAAAAAATTTATTAACTTCTTATAGTTTGCATGAAACTTTTCTAGGTTTAGTAGGGAGATAACACAAGCGTGCACATTCATAGGATGTGAAGGTGTCTGCACCATGAAGAATGCATGTAGGACCCCCCCATATTCACAGGTTCCANAAGCGTGCACATTCATAGGATGTGAAGGTGTCTGCACCATGAAGAATGCACGTAGGACCCCCCCCATATTCACAGGTTCCCGGAGAGGAGTGCAAATAAAGACCTGCGCGCCATGTGTTTGAGCACTTACAAGTCTTGAATCAAGCTAATAAGCCATTAAATAAAATGTGTTCTGCTTTCCTACTTGACACATACACTTTTATAATGACAAAGCTGAAAATACATGTGAAGTAACAATGGATACCAAGTAACATGATACATGGGTAGTGCCAGTTCAAAATTAATTGTATTTTCTGCCCTGGCCGGGTGGCTCAGTTGGTTGGAGCATCACCTCATACACCAAAAGGTTGTGGGTTCGATTTCTGGTTAGGGCACATACCTAGGTTGCGGGTTCAATCCCTGGTTGGGACATGTGAAGGTGGCAGCCAGTGTTTCTTTCACTTGGATGTTTTTTTTTCTCTCTCTCTCCTTTCCACTCTCTCTAAAGATCAGTATAAACATATCCTTGAGTGAGGATTGAAAAAAGAAAATTAATTGTATTTCCTGCCGGCCGTCCCAGGAAGCTGGGAGGAAGGCTGGCTTTCTCCCTTTTGCCGGCTCTGTGCCCTTCCAGTTGCAGTGGACGTCCACGGGTTGCACATGCCCATCGCTGCTTCCTGTTTATGGGGGTGAGGGCAGGAGAGAGGAGGCCACGCTGCTTGCCACCTGATTGCCCTCCCCTCCTAGTGCGAGGTTTCTCCTTTCTTCCCCCAGTCCAAGACAGGCAACCTCTAGCCACAAGAGGCCCCAGGTTTCCCTCCCCTGCTAGCATCACACTTTTAAGTTTCTCAAAGGAGCCTGAGGCCAGGAGGGACTCCTCCGAGTTCCTTGTCGGAAGGAATGTGGTAGCACAGGGACCACCTTCCCCAGAACTGCTCCCTGTTTTTTCTCACCCAGGCTCTATGCTGCACCTCATAATGCCTTATGTACCCACATGTCTCAGCTTGGCACATGCCCCTGCGAATGTCAATCCTATGGCCACCCCCTAGGTCCCAGGTGCCCAAATACCCTTAGAGTAGCCCACATCCCAAATACAGGACCCCTGCAGGACAGACCCAAGGAGGAGACTTGTACAGGCCCCTGAAGTGGGTGCAGGGCCACTTCCACAGGAAAGCGGGGCTGTGGTCCCCAAAGCGAGGCCTAGAAGGGGATGCATGTTCCAGTGGGCATGTTCATTTGGCCTCATAGGGCGAGGGGCACAGCAGAGGGGCTGACCAAGATTCCTGGAGGGGTCCTNCAAGATTCCTGCAGGGGTCCCCTTTACCCGGGTCTAAGAGTGATATGGATATCTAGATAAGTTCTGGGAGCTCAGAAGATTATGTTTAGCAGGGAATTAAGGACATTTTTGTAGAAGTGGTGTTTGAATTAGGTCTTGCAGTTAAGGGAGGATTTTGCCATGGTAGTTGGGGAGGGCATTATGATTTGAATAGGGTCACATTTGAGTAAAGACACAGAGATGGGAAATTGTGGTGTATTTATAGAAAATAGTTTAGGTTGGTAAAGGAAATGGTGTTTGGTAAAAAAAGCTGGAAAGGTGATTTGGAGCTGAAGTATGGAAGGCTTGAGTGGTAGACTGGGAGCCTGGGCTCACCCTGCAGGCAGGAGTAGCCTCTCCATCGGATGTCTGCATGTGTCCTTGTGCTCAGCTTCACTAACTCTGGGACTATTCAGTTCACTTCAGGGAAATTATGACTTTAATTTGTGCTACAATTAACTTTGTGACATAGGCAAGTAGCTAGCTTCTCAATTCTTCTAACTTCATGTAATATAGATAATTATATTTTCACTCATTTATCTTTCTAACAAGCTTACTGAAATTAATTTTTTGGATACTCTTAGAGATAATCCTTTGGAAACTAAGTAGGATCTCATTGTTATGATTAATTTTCATTAATTCTATTTGTATTTAAAATATTATTTTACCAGTGATACTTTCAATATTATAATTCATATTAGCCGGATTTATTTTCTTCAGTTATTTGTGAGTCTTAGCTGTATTGGGAATTCATAATTTTCTACTCTTGCTTTCTCCTCTCCAGGTAGCAGGGCAGCCACTGAGCCCCTCCTCCCAGCAGTCTCAGCAGGGGCTCAGCCCCTCCCACATACAAGGCAGTTCTGCACAAGGCCAGGCTCTCCAGCAGCAGCAGCAGAGCTCCTCTGTGCAACACACATACCTACCCAACACCTGGAATTCCTTCCGTGGCTATTGTAAGTGAGCGATGGGATAATGCTGCAGGTCATGGGTGGGAAACCTGAAGCCATGGGTCAGAATTTCATCAGCTTTATAATGGACTTTCTAGAGTAAAGTGTCATTGACCAGTTTCTTCACTCTGTAGTGCATGTAGTGCGTGAATAAGTTTCATGACAAAATTCAAGGTAGCATCCTGATCTGAGAGCCACCCACTTCAGAGACATTAGCAATATTGCTGGGAGGTGTAGGCAGGTGGTTTAAATAGTAGAATAGATGGATAGGATATGTTGATAGCATTGATTCAGCTCTATCTGTTGAATGCCTATATATCAATCAGTGTGCTAGACCCTGAGTATATAAAAGATTAACTTTCGCCCAGTNAGACCCTGAGTATATAAAAGGTTAACTTTCGCCCAGTTGGGCGTGGCTCAGTGGTTGAGCATCAACCTAGGATCCAGGAGATCGAGGTTCGATTCCTGGTCAGGGCACATGCCCGGGTTGCGGGCTTGATCCCCAGCAGGAGGCGTGTAGGAGGCAGCTGATCAATGACTCTTACAATTGATGTTTTTCTTTCTCTCTCTCCCTCTCCCTTCCTCTCTCTGAAGTCAATAAAGATATATTAAAAAAAAAAAAAAAGATTAACTTTCACATCACTAACACCACACAATAATAATGTTAGCCAACTTTCATTAGGTTCTTCCTATGTGCCAGGAATGTTTTTAAGCCACATATATACACATTCAGTATTCACAACAACCTACGAAGTAAGTACAATAGTTATTTGTATTTTACAGATAAGGTGACTTAGGCACAGAGTAACTTGTCTGAGGCACATAGCTTGTAAATGGGGGTTTGGAACTGAGAAATCTGTGTCCAGAGTTTACACTAAACCACCCTGCTGGCTGCCTCTCCTAAGGAGACAACCTTTGGCTCAAAAAGATTGTTAGCTAGTAGTGAGATATGTGAGTAGTTGCTTTCAAAACCCTGAACTATAGAAGCAGTAAAAGGCTGGCTGCTGAAGATCAGAATAGGTAACAGTCTTGGGGATGACAGCCTTGGGTATGAGCTGGAAAGTATAAGACCTTTATGACTGAAGATGTGGAAGGAACAGGACTAGGGGTAGCAGACCTCAATAGTGGGAACTGGAGGGATAGGGGTTGAGAAAGTAGGGAGGCTGGTGATGATCTTCCCCCACTATTGATTTGGGGGGGTGTCAGTCTCTGTTATGATTGACCTTTGGCTATATTATATAGATTTGGTAGGGAATTAGGCTCCACCCCTTCCATTTAGTTATTTTTATAGTCCTCTTAAATATTGAAGGCACAATGAGGGCTGAGTCTAGATTCTAGTCATGGTAAATGCCAGCAGAATCCTGGTAAATAGACTGACATTTATACTCAGTTTAATTCCTGTGAAAGAAATGTGGAATGAAGATAGTCATGGCGATAGTCATGAACTAGCATTCTAACCTGAAGAAAAGATTCTGGAACCGAAATTTTTTATTAGGGGAAAAATTTTAAATATACAAAAATAGAAATAGTGTAATGAATGCCCCGACCCATTATCTAGCTTCAACAGTTATGAACTCATGGCCAACTCTGTCTCCTCTGAACCACCCCCATGCCCCTTGTCACTCTCTCCTGCATCTCCAACTAGAAAATAATGCATATCATTTCACCCATAAATTTTTTAGTATGTATCTCTAAAACCAAAGGAACATACCTTAAAAAAAACAACCAACAACTCCAGTACTGTGATTGCACCTAAAAATAAATGACAGTAATTTTTTTGATACCATTAAGTATCCAGTCAGTGCTCATATTTCTGTGATTGTCTCATACATTCTTTTAATAGTTGGTTTGTTCAAACTGGGTTCCAAATAAGGGCCAAACAGTGCAATTGATTATGTCTTGGAGTTTCTTGTGATATATGTGTTCTCTCTAAGTGGCAATTTATGTGTTGAAGAAACTGGGTCATTTGTCCTATAGAGTTTTCCACATTCTGACATTTCTCAAAATCCCACATGGGTTTTGCTATTGGCATCCATATATTATCATTTAAGATGCTTTCTGCTGTCCCTTTTCTTTCTTGTGGGCTGGCAATTAGGTCTAAAGGCTTGGCTGGAATCAGGTTTAGTTTTTCCGACACTTCATAGCTGGTGGTGTGGACCTCCATCAGGAGGCACATGACGTTTGGTTCCTTTTTTCTCCTTTTGTCCACTATTTCATTAGGGATTGCAAAGTTGTCCTACTCTGATCCTGTCATTTTTATACACTAATTAGCTAGGAAATGTCAGTAAAGAAGACAATGTTACTCTGAGGTAGTTTGTACAGGAACGCCAGGCTCATCTCCTCTATTCACCAGTTTTCACAGTCATGCGCTCTTTCCTAGTATTATCCAGGTGGCCGACGAGGGCTGTGTGTGTCTTAGTGTCGTCACACACTCAGGAATTTCAACACATCTGACGTGTTTCAGGCCCTTGCACTTGCTACCCTTACTCATGCTCAGACGACCCCACCGTTAGCAAACGGGAGCACCTTGGGATCGGCGCCTGTATCTTTTCTACATGGCCCTGTGGTCTTTTATAGCACTCTTCATGCTGGTGTGATACCAGCTCTAGGTTCATCTTCTATGTTTTCTGCCCAGGTCTGGAATCAGCCATTTTCCCAAGAAGCTCTGGTCCCTTTTAGTAGAAAATATTATTTAGAGACTCAACTGGGTGCTAGGGTGAACTTTGTTTTTAATTTGCCTTACTAACACTGGGGGTGGAATAAAACTCAGTTAATTTGTCATTGCTAGGCAACGGTGGATACCTCATTGTGCCACTAATTCACATGTAAAAAGGGTAAAAATATTAAGCTAACAGGTAAGTTCTTGTATCTTATTTCAAGGTTTTATAAACTGTTGTGTATTTCTCTTTATGGATATTCAGAAGCCACATTTGAGGGAGACGCACTGATTGTTTTCAATATTTGGTAATTCTGTACTAACCTCATGTGATCAGTTCTTATCGGAGATACTTTCACTCTATCAAGAGATCAGGTCATCCTAAGACTCTCACAGCAAGCAAATCCATGGCAGTGTCTCAGGGGGGAATGTGGTCACTCGTTAGGGATTTTTGTTTACAACTTGTATTAAAATCTGATACCACTGAAATATGCATATTCCTGTTTTTCAGCATCTGAGATTCAAATGATGACGCTTCCCCCAGGACAGTTTGTGATTACAGATAGTGGTGTGGCAACTCCAGTCACAACTGGCCAAGTGAAGGCGGTTACTCCGGTAAGCTGTGCTGCCCGCGAGGGTTTTCCTGTCCACCCTGCTGCACCCATTTCCTCTTACCCTGTCTTCTGCTCCCCAACTTTTAATATCTGAGTAAGAAGTGCCTCCCCTGTGTTCCCATTACAACTTGTGGAGCAATAATATAACCCTTATCACAGTTTAATTATTGGTTTACTGTCTGTCTTTTCCCGGTAGGTGATGAATTCCTTGAAAGCTGGGTCTTGGTCTTTACCTCCCTGTTCTCAGTGCCTGGCATGGGAGGCAGGGCTATAGTAAATGCTTAATAAATGCCCATCCCATGAATAACTATAGTGAACCTCCTAGGTCCATATACACATAGATTCATAACTGATCACTTTTTATGTGCTTCTTGGAATGTATATGAGTGTTCATTAATGGCATAATGAACTTATTATTTGAGCTCTTTTAATTATTTTAAACAATTCAGCTATCTCAGGGTGAAGAACATTGCCATAAATTCTATTATATTTAGGTTAGGCAGGTCAATGTTGATTGTAACTGCTACCTCTGTTTTTATCTTCTATGGTTTATTCAGGCCTGCCTCTAAGTTATTAGAAAATCAGAGTATGTAAATTTAAATTAAGAAAAATACTCTTAAGTGGATAGAAATATTAGGATGTTCCAGGGGAAGACTGTTTCCCAAGAGCAGCAGGGTAGTCTAGTGGCCTCAAAAATCTGATCCCGCCCCCCCCAAGGCATTCTGAGAGGTCATTCATTTTTTGCATCCAAACTCACATTAATTAGACTTAGGAGAGATGTGTAAATTCAGAGTAATACTATTGTCAGTGAAAACAATAACTAATGTAAAATGGTATGATCAGTGAAATTTTTGCTGTCTGTGGGACCTGCTGGCTCTACCATTTTTTAGCCAGGAACTCATTTGGGAACCGGATTATAGTCAAGGATGTCTCTCCCCAGCCCCCCGCCACAATATACATTACACACAAATTTAACGTACATTTTGTGGGGTTCGTAGATTCTTGGAAGCCCACTTTTGAACTACCTAGGGGTCCACGTACCCTAGGTTGAGAACCAACCCCCTCCTGCTAAAGAAAGACCCACATGGGAAACCAAATCATAATCAGAGTTGTGTGTTGAGCGTGGACTCAGAGCATATGGCCCTAGATAAATCAAATGGGTATTTGGCTATGGCTTTTTTTCTGGGCAGTGCTTGAGTAAACTCTGACTTTTTTCCTCAGCCTAGTAGCTAACCAATCCCTCTTCTGCCTAACACATTATTTTCTTTAAAATGTTATCATAAGGATATAGCTAGCTACAGTCTATGAGGAAGATTTCATGATCAGAGGAAAAATGAGGAAATATAAACTCAATGTATATTTTCATAAAGCTAAATTTACTCAATGTAAGAGAGTTTACTTAAGACTGTGCTGTTCCTATGCTTTTGAGTGTTAAAATGCCTCTCATTTGACAGTAGCATTTCAAAAATGACTTTACTTGGCAAAGTAACATTTGGAACTGTTCATTATTACTTTTAACTTTGCTGGTGTTTGAAATTCTGAATTCTAGGAACAATCGATCTTGACTACCTGTTTTGGGGGCTATTCTGCCTCTTTAATGGGACTTTAGATAATAATTTTCCTTTGATCCATTTTATATTCATCTTAAAATTTAATTGACAGATAGCAATCTTATTTTAAAAATCTAAATTCTTAATAGTAGTACAAGGCCAAATATTTCTTTTTCCGTGTAGGTTACTGTTATGATGCCAATTTCCGTATCTGAAATTCTTCACTGTATCTTTTGGTAGAACAACTAAGGTGCCCCCTTAAATCCCCTTTGTTGTCAATTACTGTGATCGATCCATTCTCTCTAAAACATTTTGGTAAGGTATCTCCCATAGGTGCCTATTTTAGTTCCCCTTGTAACATTTCTTTATAGATTCTTCTCTCTTTCTGTCCCCAGGACCCCATCCCCATTAGGCCTCAGATTTCTAAAGATCCTTTCTTTCTGCTCTAGGGTCATTATGTGTTATCAGAAAGTCAACCAGAATTGGAGGAAAAGCAAGCTTCTGCCCTCTCTGGGGGAGTCCAGGTTCAGCCAACTCCGCACAGTGACTTGGACGCCCAGACCGCCAGCCAGCAGCAGCCCACGCAGTACATCATTACAACCACCACCAACGGGAATGGGAGCAGGGAAGTGCACATCACTAAACCGTAACTTCCACCCTTGAGCTAGAGTCAAGCAGTCACATCATGTCTTTTCTCATTCATAAATCGGAAAGCTTCTGACACAACTTTTTAAAGATTTGTCATTCACTCAAGAGCTTGGAGGTTCCAGTCTTGACACTCATACAACTACCGGGGCTTGTTTTATCAAGGTCACCTTCACCAGATTGACTCTTCGCGCCTCAGGCGTTGCTGTTGTGGCATGGGGATCTTCCAGTGGCAAGTAGAGTTCAAGATGCAGAAACTTTGCCTTGCTCTTGAGTTAGTTTTTTTAACACGTTGATAATAAGCCTTACTTTTCCTTTGTGGAACTATTAAGTGGTGTATTGTGTCTGTACCAAAGGTGGAGAAAGGATGTGACAAGTCCACGGCCACTGGACTTCATTCCAAGCCGTGGGACCGAAAGGGAAGGCGCATTTTATGTGCACGAGTTAGATCAGAACTGCTTCATCTTTTTAGTTTTCAGTAACTTAACAAAGGGAGCCTATTGAATATGGAAATAACAATTATGAAGCAAAGGGTGACAGTGGTGTTCTGAAGGAAACACTGTCATCTAAATTTTTTTTATTGCTGATTAAAAAGAACTCTTGCCTTTTTGGGAAAATCATTGTTGGGCTATTGCTAGTATTTTCCACAGATTCTGCCCTCAGCAGATTAGGCCAGAAGACCATGCTCTGCTAGATCTTACTTTATTATTCCACAACGGTGGATGCCCTGCAAGAGAAAAGGTTGCTTGATGTCAGCAGGAATTAAACTCCTGCATTAAAGGGTTGCCACCCATTCTCTGATGTGGTTGCAATAAGGAGATATTGGAGATACCAGTACCAAGTAAAATTACCGAGACAATATTTGTATATAAGGTAAAAAGCACTGAACCCTTGTCCTGCCTTGCAGGGTCCATACCATTCATTAGTTAAGGATGAATCCTTTCTCTTCCCAGGTGTACACTCAGCCCTCGACCACAGCATTCAGTGTATTTTAGAATTTCTAATGCTTTCTTAAAATGAACATTCTTTGAGGTTGGATGGAAAGGTGGCCCTCCTTATTTCTTACCACTTTTAACTTAAACATACAACAACTCACCTGGACCCTTTGGTATGACCAACTTCACACTTAGGGGAAAAATAAGAACGTGGGGACCATTTATAATACATTAAGGCAGTGATTTTCAACATTTTTCATCTCATAGCACACATTAACTAAATTACTAAAATTCTGTGGCACACCAAAAAATATATTTTTTGCTGATGTGGCCAAAAATAAAAAGGTATAATTTAGATTAAAAAAAAAAAAATTTATTAACTACCCTTTTTGTTCCAAAGTGACTTTAGAAAACAATCAGGTGCCTATACTTGTATATAAGGATTTCTGGTACCAAGAATTAACCAATCAGATGCAACCTCATTATGCAACGTGACCAATAAGATGCAACTTGTTATTATATGATCTATATATAGGATGTCCCCAAAAAATGTATACACACACTGAATAGTTATAAAGGCAGTGTTTATTAAAATACATTTCATTTTCAAAATCAAGCTATCAGATGTTAAAGTTTGTATACATTTTTTGGGGACAATCCTGTACTTATGGTTGAAGACAGGGCATTCATACCAGACGGCTATTGTTGTGTTGGCTATTGTCATTTTTTTATTTAACAATCTAAGGGAAAAGAGATCAGTGCCCCTGGCTAAATAGTCAGGTATTCCATGTTTTAAAATTCTTACAGCACACTGGTTGAAAATCACTGCGCTAAGGGATCTGGCAGAAATCCAGTCTTTATGAATATTACACTGTCAGTGGGGAAAGAAAAAAAATCTGCCTCAGTGGTAGTTTTGCTTATATGTATTCCTCTTTGTTAGCTATGAATTCAGTGGGGAAAAACATTTTCCTCCTTTTTACTGTACATTCCAATTGTACACATAAAACATTGCAGAGATCAGTATGTATTTTAACAACTTTTGGTGATATATTAACACATTTTTAGAATAATTACTGATGGTAGAATTTATCACTGCAGAACAGAAAGACCTAACTTAAATTTCAAATGAAGCTAATTTATTTTATTTACATTTCTGGATAAAAATTGGTTCTATAAATTAAGTATAGTAGCTTCTTTATAGTAAAGATAACCTTTCTGAAAAGTAAACAACTCTATTGAAATACCTTTACTAATATGTAGATTTTGCACTTTATTTCTGAGACCTCATTTATTTAGTTATCCCTGAAAATTTGGGTACTAAGAGAACTTGAAAAAGTTACTTGGGAAATGTGTAGAAACTGAAAATGGACTCTGTATCTTTGGTAACAAAGAGGTAGTGTCAATGTTTTTAATAGAAAATACTGACCCTCAATCACAAAATAGAGACTCTGGGTCCCAAAGCCCCACGTTGTAATGATTGCAAATATCCTAGGGCCCGGTCTAGAACGACTTACTAGGTGAAGAATACTAGACTTTCCCAAAGATCCAGTTTAGTTTTTATACCTTAAATTTGGCCCTACTGGGTCCCTTTTCATTTGAATCAGCAAGGTCTCCCCCCTCCCCTCCCCTCAGGAGTAACATTGGTTAAAATAGGAACTATCACTAAATGGAATGTTCATTTTATGCCAGTTATTTCAAGTTTTAAAATACACAGAAGGAAATGTGAAAGGACCTTGTTGTCTCTTTCCCATCTAAGTTTGTTTTCTCTTTCTTTGTTTTTTTGTTTCTGTTTTGTCCTTATGTGGAATAAGTAAAGACTCTAAAGCTAATTTGTATATTATCAAGCAGAGGTGCAGGTGGCAGTCAAGCCAGACGACACTGCGTTAAGATCAGGTATTCCGCTCATTCATCCAAGGTAACAGACTTTCACAAGGACTTGGATCTGAAGAGATGGCAGATTATAAGCCATCTGAAGACCCAATTTGGGGGGAAAAATATATGTAGCCAATGTTTATATTGTTTCCTTTCTTAAGACACATTGGCACTGTAGACTTCAATCAGTGCAGTGTAAAGATTTTGGAGTAACATAGATTTTACATTTCTATTGCTTGATTTGTGCCCACATAATAGACATTTTATCATGTAAAATTCCTGTTATCTGGGAAAAACCTATTGTTTTGATCTCGAATTGTTTTCTGATTTCCAATTATCCTTTCAAAAAAACTTAGGGCTAAAAAGCACTTCACGTGATGCTAAAGCCGACCGGAGGGTTGAAAACGCTGACCCTGTCCTGTTATTTAAATGTGAACATTTATTGTACATTCAGTGAGTTATAGTGTTAATAGTCTTGTGCTACTCAGCAGGTGTAAAAATTAATAAATATTTTTTTAAATAAACACCTGCCTTGTTTGTATGTGTGAAGCTACAAGAACTCCTGAGATTGTTGAAGAAATTTCCCGGACGCGGACTCGGGGACGGTGGGAGGCGCCCCAGGACCAGGATCCGCGGGGGATGGGGGTGGGGTGGGTCCGGGGCTTCTACGTGGGGACCGACAGGCTCTCTAGCGGGGACTAGGGGCAGGCTCGCGGCCGCAGGGGCGCAGAGCAGGGGCTGTACTTGGAAACTCCTATTTCCCACCCGGGGCGGGGCGTTTCGGGGCCCCCCGCTTTCCCGGTGCAATGGCACCCCCGCGAGAGGACCGAGGGGGCTCCGCGCTCGGCCGGGCTGTGCTGGCTGCAGCCCCGACAGTCGGGGAGCGCGCAGAGAGCGACACACGTTCTTTCTTTTCCTTAAAAGTTTTTTTAAAATTATTATTTATTTTTATATATCTTCATTGATTTCAGAGAGAGTGGACACATCAATGCTGAGCGTCGTTGCCCGGCCGCCGCCTGCAGCGCCCCTGGGCATCGCCGCAGCCGGGCACGGCCCTGACCGGGAATGAACCGCGACCGCCCGGTCCCAGGTCCACGCTCCGCCCTGAGCCAGGCGCGGGCGGGACACAGGTTCTTACCAAGAGGCCTTACGCACTTTAAACTCTATTCCTTCGGGTGTGTACTTTCTCGGACGCCTCGGCCCGGGGACGGGAGGGAGAAAGGGGGACACGCGGAGGGGGAACGGCTCGAGGCCCCGTTCTCAAGGAAACCGAGAAGCCGCTGCTGCCTCAACCGCAAAGGGGGAACCAAGCGCCCCCCGCGCTGAGAATGCAGCTGCCGCACGGGGGCGGCGGGCGGCGGGCTAGGCGCGGGGCCGGCGGGGGTCGCTCTCTGCGGCCTCGCCTCCT